AGTCGTGAAATTTCCTCGCTCCTAAATATTCCACAGTCAACTCTCAGCTGTATTAGAAGAATGTGGAAGGGTTTGGGAATGACAGATACTCAGCCACAAAGTGGTAGGCCACGTAAACTTATCCACCATCAGTGTGAGACCTCACAAATGCGCTTCTGGAAGAATGGTCAAAAATTCCCATAAACACACTCCTGAACCTTATGGACAGCCTTCCCAGAAGAGTTGAAGCTTTTATAGCTGCAAAGGGTGGACCGACATCATATTGAACTCTATGGATTAGGAATGGGATGTCACTTACAGTACGTTCATATGTGAGTAAAGGTAGGTGAGCGAATACTTTTGGCAATGTAGTGTATGTCCGGTTGCCAAGTGCCCTACAGTTATGTGATCACCATTTGCAATCTTTTCAGCCTTTCCCCCCAGAAAATCAATGGTAAAGCCAGAAGGGAAGGTTGGAGATAGAGCATTGGATTTGAGATACATTCCGCCCCTCCAGACGGGACAAACTAATGAACATCAGTGTTCTGAACCTTTCAGAACAATGGCATTTGCTAGCATTTTTGTCATTTTTGAGATCTGTTCTTCCAGCATGTTGAAGGATTTCTCCTCTGGAAGGGAAATCTCTTGACCTGCTAGAGGAATGGACTTCAACTCAGGTAAAAATTAGATGCCAAGCACAATGAATAGACACAGAAAGAGAGAGGACTAAAGGAATCTTTTTATTTTTTAGGTATACATATTAATTGTCAGACAAATTCTCTGGAAAAAACTTTTTTAAAGGGAACAATTCTTCTACTTTATCATGTTGTAAGGGAGAGGTGAATGGTCTGAGGTGTGTATCAGGCGCTGAATGCCTTGGCTGCATTCCACAGAAAACATGAAAGAAAATATTATCAAATACTAGATGTTAATGTGACCGAAGATAAATAAGATTAAATACAAATTTGAAGAGGAATTATATTAATGATCTTTCTTTTTTTCAATGTAAATCAAAACTTAAATCTAATTTAGATTTTGTTCAGATTCATTCACTATTTTATATACCCAGCCAATTCATAGGCTCGGTTCAGCCTTCACAGTGCAATATTTCTATTGGAATGTAAAGTATTTATTGCAGTAAAATGAATATTTATTTGTGTCAAAAAGAAAACTAAGTCTTTCATGAGTTTGTATTGTAACAACTTATTTTTGTTTTTAGGTCAGGAAAAGATACAGCCCCCTGTATTCTTGTGATCAATGATATTCTGTCTCAACTGCAGCCCTATTTGTCTGTGAATGTTACACTCTTAGGTGATTCTGTAAACAATCTGCTAACTGAGAAGTAAGTTTTATAAGATATTCTGGGCCTCTTTCAAATATGAGAACACATTTTATTCTATTAATGCTTTATCATCCTTTGGAGATTCATTTATGTTAAAAATCATAAAATTCAGATATTTTACTGGACCAAATAACATTTTAGTTTTGCATCATAGATGATTCCAACCATTTTATTTTTAAATCAACTTTTGCATTTTGTTGTGAAAATTGAGTTGGTTCTGGCTTATTCATTAAACCACGGATAAATTAATGTGATATATGAATGCAGCCATCATGTTGTTTAGGTTGCATTTTTTTAATAAAGTCTGCCTGGGGTTGTCTATAGAGATTCTCAGTCATCCGGGTCATGGTTGTCCCAAGGAAGCTTTTTTTCAAGAGGCAACTGGACTTTCTGTTTTTTCTTTGAAGACGTTTCGCTTCTCATCCAGCTTCTTCAGCTCTGTACCTGGAGTTGGCTTGTCTCTATTACTTGTAATTGAATTAATGCAGTTTGGATTTGAATGACATGAGAAGCTGCTTTTAACAAAAATGGAAATAATCTTCCAAATTCCTTATAGTTTACATTAGAGATATACTGAAAATATTAATTTAATATGGAAGTAGCCATAATTTTGTGTCCATTAATAGAAAACATATGTTATTTCCCATAAGTAATAACTAATTTTAGTGCAACCTTTTGTTCTGTTCAGGTTGCTGACTGAACTTTGTAGCAAGCACATTCATACCCTTTACTCTCCACGAACTATCCTGGAAACCATTGTGGTGTTTCGCCAGATAAGCACCCATTGCCATCATGTGTCACGTCAAGTCATTTCAATTTGTGAAACCAGATATGAACAGTGGATAAATAAGTCACTGAGGTCACGCCAACGACTTAACTTTCTACGCATGAGAAGAAGGTGGGAAGTATCTTACTTTTAAGAGAATGAGAATTTTAACAGAAAGTGATTTTAAAAAAACTAAGAAAGTAATTTCAATACTATACAGAACCACATATTTATAATACTGATCTGATCCTTCCAAAGTTAATATTAGTTTCCATGTAAGGTTCTCATTGAAATGAGTGAGATTTAGCAATATGTCAATGTAGCTAGAATATCAGCATAGAAATAGGGAAAGTTCATTCACCTGATGCTGACTGATCTTCAGCTGGTAAACAAATTTCAGTCTGATTTTCCTAAGAATAATGCCTTGAATTCTTAGGAGGAAAAATGGGATATAGATTTAATAAATGGTAAAGTTTGTGGTAATTTGGAACAAAATGTGAGCTTAATAAGAAAAGCTAATTAAAATATAAAAAAAAAAATAGGGGGGAAAGCTGATAGGAAGAGATTTTCAAACAGCACATATATCTCTGCCGATTGGTATTCCAGCTAATTACTGTTCATTTAGCTTCTCCCTCTTTTTATACTATATGTTTTCCAGGCACCCTTCCTCACTTTATTATATTGGGTCTATGTAATATTATTTTAGTGCATGTTTTTATATGTATATTTAATTACGTGCTTTTTTCTTCCAGTATAAAATTTCTGTCCCCAGTTTTACAACTAGTTTTAATCTTGATTACCCTGGAGCTAGTGAACATTCATATAATTTGCAGAAAAAATACTTCTGAATGTCAACAATACTTAAAGTGAGTATATTCTTTTTTTTTTTTNCTCTATACAATATTATTTCCAATTATATATAAAATACATTTTATTCTGGAAATGAAATGTTACAAATGTTTTTATTTCATTATATTCTAGTCATCTTCTCTGTATACCACTTTTGATGAAGTAAGTTCCTTATAAGATTCTTTGAACTATTTGAAAAAGGGCTAGTCAATTATTCTTTTAAACTTGGCATGCTAAAATTAACTAAAATTGCAGTATGGGAAATTCAGTGAAGACCTTTTTTTAAATACATTGTTGGGATTATTAAGCTTTATATTACTACAACAGCCTTTGTGTCACATGCGAAGAAAGGTAGAAAACAATTCATAAAAGGGGAGAAAAAACATCCGATTGTAACAATGTCCCTTCTTTGATAGGCCCAAATTACTATCTTGTTTAACCAACATGCTCTGGCCTATATTTCATCAACAAGGTGATAACATGCCATATATGTGGCATATGTTCCATATTTGGGATATGAATCTTGAAATGTTATAAACCATATTGTTCTGAGGAGATGCAAAATATAAAGTGAAATATCAATATCTATGTTGTCCCCCTAACCATTTTGTAAGGATGAAACCTGGATGTACTATTTTGCATTGTCAAGTCCTAGTAGAATCTAATACTTGCAAGAAAGATACATCAAAAATGTGAGCAAATGCTGCAATGGCCAGAACATAGTCAATTCTGCTTGATTTTCCTTAAATAAGTTCCCAGAGTTCTGTTACAAGCCCCTGCTCTTATTAAATCAAAACTTGTTTCATTAATTTTTAAATGTATTTCATATCCACTATTTTTCCTATGTAGATACTAGCAAAACAGTTGAATAATGAAGAAATAAATCAGCTCCCCATAGTCCTTGGTGAATCAGCAATGGTAATGTAATTAAGTTTTGGGGGTTTTGTGTTTCAGTTGGGAATGCTGAATGCTTCTAAGATAACAAAATCATGCTCTAAACATGTTTTTGACAATTAGCCTAGTTGGCTTTATAGATCTAAAAAGACATTAATATAATTTCAGTGTATAATGCAGTGTTACCTTTGGTCAGTCTTACTTGGAAGACAGGAAGCTACCGTACATTGATTTCTGTATTCATATGCAGCATTCAGGTTTTAAGATTGGGGAAAAAAATACATAATATCTTATAAGGCCACCATTTTTTTTAAGTCCAGTTATGGACATGTGAGAATGCTACACATATATAGAATTTGGCATTCAGTTTTCATTATTAGAGAAGAAAAATGATTTAAGTAGTTTCTTTCCAGCTATTGCAAAAAAATGGCAAATAAGGGTTGCCATTTTGGGTTGGGTTTTGGCTTCTCCCAAAGTTTCCTTTGATGCATGATTGTAAACAACCAGCATATTTGCAGTAGATCAAGTGATGATAAGGGGGGAAAAAATCATCTTATTGGCACATTTTGGCAGGAATTTCTTTGGGATTTTTTGAACCATCAAGAAGGCCCACGTGTTAGAGACCATCTGAGCCATGGAGAAATCAACTTAAATCGTTTCCCAAGAGAAATCGCAAATTCCATGCTTTCATTTTCTATTACAGTCCTCTGCAGATTTTCACAAGATGACTTGACTTCCATTAAGGTAATGAATATGCCAACTTACATTAAATTTTAAAATACATTAAAATTATGCTGTTGTAGCTTTCAAATCCAAATGTTTATGTATTTAGACTATGTATTCTCCCTGTTCCATATAGCATAGTATTGTAAATCTCTTTTTATGGAGAAGAGCAACCAGGTGGCCTACCTGTTAGTCCTATTTTTTAGATGGCCGCTTGTTTGTCACATTCCATGAAAAATTATTTCTGAAAGGAAAATGTCTATCCTGAATTTCATTTTATGTAACATAGAGGAATAAACCTAGAAGGAAATTCAGTTATTTGTCTTTTTATATAAATTTTTAAAGGGGGAGGCAGCGAGACTACCTTTGTTCCTCTTCCTAGTTTTCTATTATCCTTATTGGCTGGCTTATTTATTTTTTTAGAATGTAGAGATGTTCTCATATCAGGTATGTATATGTATGTAATATTCAATATTCATCACACTCTTCCCTTTCAAGGTAAGCAGTCTTATGCAAAGTTAAGAAAAGGAATATAAAACAATAAGCCAAAAATTAAGGCATAATTCTTAGTTTTTATATATACAGGTGAAACTCAAAAAATTAGAATATCATGCAAAAGGTCATTTATTTCAGTAATGCAACTTAAAAGGTGAAACTAATATATGAGATAAGACTCCTTACATACAAAGCAAGATAGTTCAAGCTGTCATGCTTCCTTCATGCAGAAGGAAGCATGAAGTGCTCCAAAATCTCCTGGTAGACGGCTGTATTGACCCTGGTTCTATTGCTCCTTGGTTCAAAGTCCTCTTTTCTGATGACAGCAACTTTTGCCAAAAGCACCAAAAACTGGTNATTAATCCAAGTTCTGCCCATCGCAATATCTCCATTAGTCACATTAATGCAATTCAGATGCTTGGCAGCTGGCTCACAGGTACAAAGTTGCAGCATAGTGATGGCCATCTGCAACCTACCCTGCCAGTTTCCCACAGGCAAAATCCATAGGGAAACTGGCAGGGAAAATTGCAAGTCACTCCCATCACTCTTTCTCCCAAGGAGGTGTGCTTTAGGATATGATATCCCAGGACAGGGATATCACAGCACTCACCCACATTCTGTAGCATGTGTGTGCACTTGCAGCACCCCCTTGCTTGCCCATGCTCTATAGATGCATCCCCCTGCAGCATTCTCCTGGCCCCTTTGCTCCTTGCCTAAGGCTCCCATTTCATCCTGCTTAATGACCTGCATGGTCCTGGGGTTAATACAGCTGCTACGATTGCCATCATTAAGCAATATGGTTCCGTGACATGCACTTCATGGCTGTATCACTTACCAATGGAAGCTTCATTCCTCATTGCTGTTGTAACTCAAAAACTATCTGTGTGAGATTGAAAGATGGTATCAGGTTGGGTTGTTTTTTTTATTATCAGCCCTGATCACTGCAGCTATGGCCCATCAAATAGTTATTTAACTGAAACCAGTGTTATTAGAATACTTCTATTTTAACCTTTTTCTGCTTTGTCATGGGGAGGATTTAAAATAAAAGGCCACTTTTTTAAATGTATGGGTGCTCTTGAGAGGACTGCAAGTAAATGAAGGAGAATGATATCCTTGGAAAGATAGATCATGCTATAACATTGGGTAATATTGGGTGTGACCACAAGAAATAGCTTGAAGATGGTACCGAACAAGTGAAGAAATACCAAAGACTTGATTGAGGGTCTTTTTTTGAAAAAAAAATGAATCTGATAATAAACATAGCTCTGGGGGGGCACTAAAGGAACAGTTACAGATACAATAGCCATTAAATTGATGACATGTCTAGCATCCCTAGAGTTTTATGCTATAAAATAGGGTATCTTTCAAGGGATGAATAATGACTTGTGGGGAGGAGAATAAATATTGCAGAGTGTGCAGATGTGGCTCTGAGATGCCTTTCTGGACCTAGGATTTCATGAAGAGCCTTCTGCATTTGAGATTAATTTCCATTCAACCTGGTAGTCATTTCTGGATAACAGAATTCCTAGCTTAGGAGAATTCAAATACCGATCTTTGTATTTTCATTTGATTATTTGGTTCATTTGACCTCCATTTGTCTAGCTTCTTTCTTGGGTGAATGGGAGATTGATCCCGAAATAATTGTTTAAAAGTCTGTTTCTCAAACAGAATTCATCCTCATCCTGCCTTCCAAGAGCTTTTTTATATTTGATATGTGAGATAGCAGGATAATAGATAAACAATTACAGTAAAAAAAGGAAATATAATAAACTATAAGTTTTGTACTTTTTTGGGGGGGGGGACCTGAGAGAGGTCTAACCTTACACTGAATTCTACAGGCAATACCTGACTTATTTCCTTCAATGCACTTAACAAAGTATCTGTTAACAATTGGGTGCCTGTATTTAGAAACTATGCATTGCAGAGGGTTTTATGGAACCCTCTCCCAATCTGGATTCTCTCTGATAATTTTATCTCTTCCGTTATCATCATCTTTATCATACTGGTAGAATCTGATGTGAACTGATGTTCAAAAATCTGGGTAATGTATCATCTCGATACATATTGAACAGCAGAAATAAAATGGATATATTAAAAAAAAGTTGTAGTGAGATTCACACTCCACCATTCTGTTGTTTCAATACTCATTTTCTTCCTTCTCCCATAAATACGTTGCTAACTGGTATAAACAGTCATCAGAGAGATTTATCTATTTCCCTTTTTAATTTTTGTATGGAAGGGTTTGCTTCTTTGCACCCCATCTCTAGTAGTATGCGCCCTGTCCTATGTGGACATGATGCCATATATCCCAATTCCTTCACTGGAATGTTTAAACAAGGAACAATATACTTCCTAATGCCATGGCTTCAGTGTTACAAAGGCCAGCAGGTGTGCTTGCTTGGAAAGATAACCTGTTTCCACATCTGCTGATAAGACTAATACAATTCTTGTGGTTTAGTTAATATTTCCCTCTTCAGCCTGCTGTGTACACACAGACGTACTGGATAAACTGTCTACAACAGTAGGACACTGTGCAGGTTTTGTATGATATTATCATCCTCTCACCTGGTGTCTTTAATTAAACATCTCTTTAATCATTGCACAAAAATTAACAAAGGTTTTGGCTCCCATTTCTTTCCGTCATATCTTTAAGACAAGCAATAACCAAGTCATAAAGTCATATAAGGAAAAGTAAGTAGGGTGGCCACCAAAACACATACTCTCATACGCTTCTATTTTTAAAATCCATTGAAATGGGAAATAATATGCAGCTTTTAAATGGATCAAACATACATACCTGGCAAAAGCAAAAAATGTAGGATCAAAAGATTCAGTCTTCCAGAGAAGACTGAAAACATTCAATTGTGGTATTTCTGGTCATATCAAGGACTACTGAATTGAAGAGAAAGCACCCCAGAAATCCTAACAAAAGTCCTAGATACAAACTTGATGTTTTTCTGTCTTTCTTTTTTTCATATATCTCATCTCAACCTTTATACCCCTCTGCAACTAACATTAGTGGCTTCATCTTTTGGACTATCTCTTTACTGACCCCTTAGTCATTTTTATGGCAACACACAATTCCTTATTTTACCTTGGTTTACTCTAAGTTTCAAGCATTGTTTTCCTTGTGGTCTGTTTTTCCAAAGCCATCTATTAATGTCAAATGAATGGAGGAATTGATTTTTTTAAATGCTCCCATTTTTCTATTCAAAAAGCAACCTAAAAGGCTAGCATGGAAGAAAGAACCACAAACTGAAAGATAATATATACATTTAAATTATTGATCTATCCAAAGGTTGAGCATCAGTTAGACCAGTGTTTCTCAAACTCAGAGATATTCAACTAGAAATCCTCAGCCAGAATAGACTAACTCAATAAAACCAATAAAATGTTGAAGAGAGAGAGAGAAAAAGGAAACATGTCAAAACTAATGCAGACTTAAGCAACTCTATAAAACCAATGACCAGAAGAGATCCTTCCATGTAGATACTACTCTGAGTATATATACAGAGAGAGAAAGTAAAGAGAAGCTCATTAGTTGTAGTATTCCAAGTGTGGTCTTAGTAGGGCTTTATAAAGCAATACTACTATTTTACATGATTTTGATTTTAAATGGAGGTACTGTATGGAATCAAAATCACTTGAAATATTACTACTGCCCTAGTAAGACTACACCTGGAATATTGCAACCGATTTTGGTCACCACACTACAAAAAAGATGTTGAGACTTTGTAAAAGGTTCAGAGAAGAGCAACTAAGGTGATCAAAGGCCTGAAGACTAAAACATATAAACAACAGTTGCAAGGCTTGGGCTTGGCTAATCTAGAAAAAGAATAACTAGTGGTAGCAGTATTCCAATGTTTGAGGGGCTGCCACGAAGAGGAGGTCAAATTATTCTCTAAAGCACCAGAGGGTAGGACAAGAAACAATGGTTGGAAACTAATCAAAGAGAGAAGCAACCTGTAATTAAGAAGAAACCTCCTAACAGTGAGGACAATAAGTGGAATTACCTTCAGAAACTGTGGGTGCTTCATGATTTGAGGCTTTTAAGAAGAGACTGGACAGCCACTTGTCTGAAATGGTATAGGGTCTCCTGCTTGAGCATGGGGCTGGACTAAAAGACCTCCACAATCACTCCCAGCTTCTATTCTATTCTATTCTATTCTATTCTATTCTATTCTATTCTATTCTATTCTTACAGTCTGAGCCGAATCACATGAGAGCCAGGAGATATAAGTAACTGGGTTACCAGTTTGGTTCAAGAAACAGTAGCATTATATACAATCTTTTATAGCCAACTATAATTTAACCTGAGAATGTACAGACCACTATGATAAGGTAATCAAGGGCACAAGTCAATTTCAATTGGAGGAATGGTGGTTGGTATACCAGCCAGAGCTGATCCTTGTGCTATACTAGTTTTTCTTCCATACGGGATAGTATGGTTTGTTTATGGTTCCTGCTCTTTTCTATACTCATCATGTGCTAGTCTTCAACTTTGTAAGTCTTGATCTTATTTTTCTTCTTATCTAGGACTTCTTAATGTTTATTTTGTCATTTTTATGTTTGTTTGCTTTTAGCAATTGGTGCGATTGAATGTGGTTTCTGGTCCTTTTTCTTCCAATCCCCTGAGTCACTGGAGCCATAAGAGAATTAGTTATCAATTAAGGAGCCCATACCTAAAGGCTAAGCCAAGAATGAAAGTCATTCAAGGACACAGACACACACAGGAAGATTTTATTTCTCAAGAAAAGATACAGGTCTGCAAATCTTGTGATTCTTCATTTGATATGGCAACTGGTCTAATCAAATAGAGTGACACGAGAGCAAGGTATTACACTGAGAAAACATCACTGCATGGGATATTCCCCAACCCACCCCCTCCCCAATTACAGTTCATTGCTATTCAAACAATGTCATTGCTAGAAATCTGAGATGTGGCATATTAGGTACCTTCTGCATCACAGTAGAATGTTTGCCAAGCCCTTTCCTCTAGAGATCACCATTTAAAATTGCACCCATAACATTATACAATATGCAATAATCAGTAGTCATCCTTGCCTCCAAACCTGGGAAGTTTCCAATTGAAACACCAAAGACACAACC